TTGTAATGATTGCAAATGTATACATTTCAGGGCTTTTTATGTTTTAATTGTTTAATTGTTCATAGTGTATGTGTGTGAATGAGTGTGTATGGATGTTCCCAGTGTTGGGTTATAGCTAGAAGGGCATCCGCTGTGTAAAACATATACTGGATAAGTTGGTATTTCATTCCGCTGTGGCAACCCCAGGTGAATAAAGGGACTAAGCCGAAAAGAAAATGAATGAATGAATGAATGAATGAAAGAATGAATGAATGTATGAATGAATGAAACCTATATTTGCAGTATATATATGCACATATGATAATATATTTGCTGTATATATGCTCATATATGCCACATATAGGAAAAATTAAGGTTCATATATAATATGTGCATATTCAGGCCATATACTGTAGGACTCTTGTATAGCTTCTTTATACAGCATACACATATAAACCCTTTATGTACATACAATATGTGTCTCCTATATAGCTCATATCTCACTTTGGCAACTGTCATACATGATGCATATAGCTCATATTTTCTATTATCAAAGCAATAGCTAAGAACCAATACAAAATTGCAAAAATGCATGTATGTGCAAACACTTGAAACTGGTATCACATGTAATTGGCATGTTATGGAATTTAACAATGGCAAATAAGTGAGAGCCCACACGGAAAGAACCTATAGGTTTTTAATATATGTGACATGTAAAATTGGCTGTTTTCTATGTACAAATAATATATGAAACTAGTCAAGTTTATATATGTCACATATATTAAAAACCTATATCAAAACTTATATTAAAACATATATGGTTATATAAGTTCTTTAAGTGTGGGAGGTAAAGCCAAAAGAAATTTTTTTTGTCAGTACCCATATAGCAAAATTTCTCTGGCCCAGCTTTGGCCCACACAATTCATTTATTACTTGACCAACATGCCGCAGTGAATTACGGTACATAACTGGACCAAGTCTGGCTTCTAGGCATGGGACGATAATCTTCTCCAAGGTAAACCAAGGTTTGGAAAAGTTAAGGTTTTAAAACCGCCAACATTTTCTGCCAGAAGCGGACTGGGACTAAAAATCAGCCCTGGCATTGTAGCCACACCAGCCCACATTACCACACCGACACAGCCCCACCCAAGGACACGCACATTCACTACCTATATTGGTGTACAGATGGTAAAATTATGTAAGCAGTACCTATTTAAGAGATATTTAAACATTTAATGTATGTGACTGGAACAAAAACAACCCATTATATGCAATTATGTCATTCATTTTCTTTTCGGCTTAGTCCCTTTATTAATCTGGGAATCGGCAACTTATCTAGCATATGTTTTACAGTGGATGCCCTCAAAGCTGCCACCCAGTACTGGGTTACCCAATTCCCAATTGGCCTACCCAATTCACCTATAGCATGTGTTTGGCCTTGTGAAGGAAACCAGAAGGAAACCCACACGAACATGCAAACTCCACACAGAAACACCAACTGACTCAGATGAGGCTCAAACCAGCAACTTTCTTGCTGTGAGGTGACAGCACTACCTACTACACTACCTACGCCACTGCACTGCCCCCTTTCGAGACTAGTTTAGTAACTTTTATGTATTTGGCAATATCTGACTTGACTGCCTTTCCCTTTTTATGGTCTATCTCTGACAATTAGCTTGTGATGCACTTACTGTTTGTTTGACATTCTTGGCAGATTTTGATTACGTCTGCGTAACCTCAGATTGGGTCGGCCAATCTCGAAACCAGCCGGTTGTTGCCGATTGAGCCAATCCTTAACATTTACTATTATTCTTACTATTATCACCATCATCATCATAATATTCACATCTCGCAAGAGATAAAAGCTGCCTATATTTAAAAAACAATACATATGACAAAAAAAATTTACCGGCCCACCTTTAAAAAATGGTCCAGCCCTTCTGGCATTTGCCAGAATTGCCAGATGGCCAGTCCGCACCTGCACCGGAATAAGTGATTTTGTTTGTTTCAGCACATGTCATCAATTCAAACAAGTCACATGAAACCAGCAGTATAATATAGGATGTATAAAAGTGTAAAAATGTAGTATACAAGTTGATTTTATGTGTACTTATTGTTGCTTATGTGTCAACAGGATTATTTTAAATACTGAATGCTTTTTCTTTATTATTATTATTTCTTTTTAGCAAAACTACATTATGTTTTTTAGTATTTTTATCTAACTAGGGTGCACTGATATGCTTAATTTTGAAACATGAAACCAGCTAATATTTCTAAAAGGGTTAAAACATTTTGTAACACACACTAACCTGGTTTGGCAAGCTAACTTTCGCAAAACGTGTCTCGTTTATGTCTAGTTTTATACATTTAAAGTTTATCAATTTGAAAAAATAACTAATAAATGTATATCTTACACATGCATGCACGCACACACATATACATATGTTTATGTTGTGTGTATGTGTATATACAGTCACCGGCCACTTTATTAGGTACACCAACAAGGTCCTGGAAATATTCCTTAGAGATTTTGCTCCATATTGACATGATAGCATCACGCAGTTGCTGCGGATTTGTCGGCTGCATATCCATGATGTGAATCTCCCGTTTCACCACATCCCAAAGGTGCTCTATTAGATTGAGATATGGTGACTGTGGAGGCCATTTGAGTACAGTGAACTCATTATCAAGAATTCAGTCTGAGATTATTTGTGCTTTATGACATGGTGCGTTACCCTGCTGGAAGTAGCCATCAGAAGATGGCTACACTGTGGTCATAAAGGGATGGACATGGTCAGCAACAATACTCAGGTACGCTGTGGTGTTGACACAATGCCCAATTGGTACTAATGAGCCCAAAGTGTGCCAAGAAAATATCCCCCATACCAATACACCTGTGTGTGTGTATGTTTGTGTGTGTGTGTAGCTGCGTCTTAAGGTGACAGAGTGCATAGGGCCGTAGGGGCCCAGCGGCAGGTTACACTTTTTTCTTTTCCTGTTTCATCTTCTCATCCTTCTCCTTTTACTTCTCCTCCTCATCGTCATCCTGCTGCTGATTATTATTATCTTTTTCAGTTTATTTACAACACCAGACACACAAGAGTTCATTTTAATCAGATATTTGAACAGATGAACAAAACAGACGGGGACAAAAGAATTTGAATGCATCTTTTATTGTTTTTCTCCACCTCCTCCATCATCCTCTCATTCTCCTCCTCTTATTTCTCCTTCTCATCATTCTCCTGCTCATCCTGCTGCTGATTTTCCTCTTTCTGTTTCTCTTCTTCACCTCCTCCTCCTCCTTTATCTCCTCTTTCAAGTCCATCATCTCAATGTCCTCCTCATCCTCCTCACTTTCCTTCTCCTCTTTCATCCTGCTCCTCTCCTTCTCCTCTTTCCTCCTGCTCCTTCGCTCCTTTTTCTCCTCTTTCATCCTTCTCTTTCTCTTTTTCCTTCCATCCTCCTCCTCCTCAGTCTTGTCCACCTCCTTCTCCATCATTGTCTCATTTGTTTCCTCCTCTTTTATCTTTCTCTCTTTCCCTCCATCCTCCTCTTTAATCTTTTCCTCCTCCTTCTCAATCACTGGCTCCTCCACCTTCTCCACTTTCTTCCTTCTCCTTCTCTTTTTCTTGTCTTTCACCTCCTCCTCCATAATCCTGTCCTCCTTCTCCTCCTCTTGTTCTCCGCAGGATAAGTCAGTGTGTGTCAGTGGGATTTCTCCTTTACTGACGTCCATCTCGTCCTTAACAGAGCGTATTTCATGAATGATGACAGAATTCACATCCAGACAGTTCTCAAACGTGGAGCAGCACAGAGAGTCATCTGTTAGAGGAGAAATGAAGTGGATACACATTTTACACTGTCATTTTCAAGATGTCTGTGTGAAGAATACAATGTATTAATAGCATTATAGACTGATGTGTTTATTTACCATCAGTGCCCTTGTCTGGAGAGTTTGGGAGCTCTTTCTGCTCTTCCTCCTCTTCATCCTCCATCTCTTTGTTGGACGTGAGGCAAGAGATTTTCATGTGTTTTCTGCACGCTCTGAAGAACGACGCCAGCCGGCTCTTTTTCTTCCTCTTTTCTTTCAGCTCATCTGTTAAAAGGGAAACGATTGTAGTACACACTTTTCCACAGTCATTTGAGAGGAAATACAAAGAAAAACAATATTCAAAGATGTACTGTGGATTTACAACATTAATTTTTAAGTTAAGTGCTTGTAAACAATTTATTTGGGCTGAATTTAAACAAACAAATTAGGTTGAATTTTACTAAATTTGATTTGTTTGCTTAAATTCAACACATATAAATTGTTTGCAACAACTTATATGAAGCTCTCGAATTTAATCTAAGATATATTCATCTGTGTCCAGAACATTAAGGAAGGTCTCATGGTGTTGGAACTACACAAGGTTAAGCAATTAATAACAGAATTGTAATTTTTTGGGTGAATTAATCCTCAAACTGTATAGAATGTGGTTTAAATAATCTCATATCAGGGAAACCCCTTTACAATGTAGGCCTAAATACCGCTCACCATTGGAGCTGTCGGGTGTTTGACTGGACTGCACATTTTTCGGGTGAGCTCTGAGGAAAGAGGGCAGTTTAAAGAAGCTCTTTTTCTTCGGCTTCACCACTGGTTCCTCCATTCTTGATTGGTCGTCCTCCAGTTGGAAACACATTGTTGACGGTGTGTCACTGGGATATTTCTGGTCCGCAGTCATAGTGGTGGCAATCTCGATCTTACACCGTGGATTGCCAAAAAACTTCGGGGTATGTAGCTCGGACATCAGCAAATCACCAGTAGCTTCGCTAGTTTGAAAAGCCATGAATAGCTCAAGTTTTTCACTAGGAAAGCTGTTTAGTCGATGTCAGACACAAACACTGCTACAACCTCTAAGCCAGAGTTTTCAGAGTGCTGCACAGCTCTACGTACAGCTCAGAACGCGTTCTAAATGATGATTCTAAACTGTAACTATGGCAACAGGACACTTCTCTGAGATGTTTTCTTTCAAAGAGAAATGACTGAAGATGAAGTAAAAGTACATTAATACACATCTCAGCTGGATAACCTCCTTTATAAGCAAGCAAAGCTGTTTTATTTGTGAGTTTTAAATAATAATTAATTAAAAATGGATATATTTGATGGCAGAGGACTAAAAAAAAAGTTTTGTGAAACTCAAACAACAAAACTCCCTTCATAAATACACTTTAAATAACGTATTACAAAAATACAGAACTGCAATACTTTTGTACTACACTCTCAGAAATAAAGGCAGGAGAGCTGTCACTGGGTGGCCCCTTTTTAAAAAGCTACATATTTGTACCTAAAAGGTCCCTATTAATACATCAAGGGTACATATTAGTACCTAAAAAGTACAAAAGTCTACCTCTTAAAATGTTTAGGTACAAATAAAAGCTTTTGAGGTGTCATTATGGACCCTTTTAGTGCAAATTTAAAAAGGTCCACCCCAGTGACAGCTCTTGTACCTTTATTTCTGCATCAATCAGGGGCGGACTTAACCAATAAGCAAGGTAAGCAACCGCTTAGGTCCCCGGGAAATAGGGAGCCTTGGCCAATGCCAAGAAGCCTATATTAATAACCCTAAAGGTATTTAATAGTGTTTCTATTATATGTTGTAAAAATCTGTCTATAATCATTAAGATTTTAACGTTACTACTTCTTTTCTAAACCGGGGCCCCTATGAATAGTGAAACGTTCCTTCCTTACTGGACATGCAAATATTAAAATCTAGTCACAAATCATGGCTAAACTGTACATAATTTGTGAGCTTGTTTTTTTATTTGTGAATTTAGATAAAAACACATCTCAGCTGGATAAATTCCTTTATAAGCAACCAAAGCTGTTTTATTTGTGAGTTTAAATAATAATTCATTAGAAATTGATATATTTAATGGCAGTAGACTCAAAAAAAAAAAAAAAAGGTTTTGTGAAACTCAAACAACAAAACTCCCTTCATAAATACATTTTAAATAACGTATTACAAAAATACAGAACCGCAATACTACACTCAGAAATAAAGGCAGGAGAGCTGTCACTGGGGTGGTCCCTTTTTAAAAGCTACACATTTGAACCTGAAGGGTCCCTATTAATACATCAAGGGTATACTAGTACCTAAAAAGTACAAAAGTGTTCCTCTTAAAATGTTTAGGTACAAATAAAAGCTTTTGAGGTATTTTTATGCACCCTTTTAGTGCAAATGTGTATCTTTTGAAAAGGTCCACCCCAGTGACAGCTCTTGTACTGTGAAATATACTTTAAAATACATAAAATATATCCAACCAGTTTCTATAGGTATAAAGTTAAAATTTCTGTATCAAGTGTTTTCGTGTAATGGATGTTGAGATTATGTTATGCATTTTTTTTATTGTATGTATGTTAATTTTTTCTGGTTCGATGTTGAATGTATATTTAATATACTGAGTGGTCATAGAATTATTATTAAGAAAAGAGATGTCAGATTTTTTATAAAAAAGATATAGATAAGAATCTCCCGTTTATGTTTAATCTGTTGATGTTATTAGGCAAGTTTCATATTCACAAGTGTAAATGGTCGGAGAGGAAGCCTAACATCTTCCATTTCAAGGCTGATTTAAACATTTATTTTGAGACTCTTAACGGAATTTCAAGTCGTAAAGCGACCAGAACTGTGAATATGCTAAAACAGCTGAACTCCTCTTCTCTATGGTAAATGTTATGTACACCAGCTCCTATATTTGTTTTGTTTTTCTTTCTCTCCTTCTTTTTTTCTTTCTGTTATTTTTGCTTACACATGTTATGCTAAAATGTGAAACATTGAAAGAATTGTTATGCATTTGATTGGAAATGTTCAGCAAATACAATCAATAAAATTTTTTAGATGTATCCTTTCTTTTACTTTTTCTCCAGTCCTGCAGATGGCGGGCACTGAGCGCTGAGACTCACTGAAAATGAATGAATGAATGATAAATTGTTACATGCCTACTCAGAATCTGTTTGAGCATCATTTTGTGTAATGGTGTGTTTATTAAATGGCTTTGTGTGTTTCCTCAGGAAGCACCGCTGTGGGTTCTGGCTCTACATCCAGTTTCAGTCCTCACTGGTGTCTCGGAGAAAGAGGTATTGAGCTCCACTGGAATAACGTTAAAACTAGGGCTGTGTACTTAATCAAAATACAATCTCGGACTCAATTTTGACCAATTGAAAAAAAAACTACAATTAAGATTAACTGATTGTTGTGCCATACATAAATACAGTTGACGCCAGAATTATTAGCCCCCCTTCGAATTTTTTTCTTCTTTTTAAAAATATTTTCCAAATGATGAACAGAGCGAGGAATTTTCACAGTGTGTCTGATAATATTTTTTCTTCTGGAGAAAGTCTTATTTGTTTTATTTCGTCTAGAATAAAAGCCGTTTTACATTTTTTAAACACCATTTTAGGGACAAAATTTTTTTCCGATAGTCTACAGAACAAACCATCGTTATGCAATAACTTGCCTAATTACCCTAACCTGTGTAACGACGGGGTGGAGTGACAGAGACAACAGGAGGTAAGATCCAATATGCAGGTTTATTCAGCGTCAGGCAAGCAGTGGTCATACAGGTACAAACGGGTATGTGTAGGCAAATCCAGAATCGTAGTAATATAAACAGGCAATAGGTCGAAAGGCAGGCGGCTAAACAGGAGAACACAGATGAGCAAGGCTAAGATCTAAACACAGGAAAACAAGACAGGGAAAACGCTTCGTAATGCTACTGGTACAGCTAACAAGACTCAGCAACCTGGATGGGTAAATGCGTGGCTTATGTAGGGAGTGTATCAGTCTCTGACAAGGTTCAGGTGGTGAGTGTAATCAAGCTAGATGAATGAGCATGGGTGTCTGGGCGAAGTGCATGTATGAATATGTAGTCCTGGGAAAGGCGGAAGTGTAGTCCATGGTTATAGTGTGAGAACCAGCGATCGCTCTCAAGAGTTATGTGACAACCTGCCTAGTTAACTTAATTAACCTATTTAAGCCTTTAAATGTCACTTTAAGCTGTATAGAAGTGTCTTGAAAAATGTCTAGTCAAATATTATTTACTGTCATCATAACATCATAACGAAGATAAACTAAATCAGTTATTAGAGATGAGTTATCAAAACTATTATGTTTAAAAATGTGTTGAAAAATATTCCCTCCATTAAACAGAAATTTTGGTAAAAAATAAACAAGCGGTCAAATAATTCAGGGGGGCTAATAATTCTGACTTCAACTGTATACGTATACACTACCTAACGAAAATGATGTCGCCTATCGCAGTTTTAGGAACAACAAATAATAACTTCTAGTTGATCATTTTGTATCAGAAGTGGATTATATGAAAGGTAAAGGCTTCTAGATTAGATCATCCACACATCTCTACAATGACTCAAATCACTTTACTCAAATCACTCAAAGTCATCTGGAAAGGCAAAAAAAGTGTTCCTGTCTCAGAGTTCATCAAGATTCTTTGGATTCATCTTCAATGCCTCCTCCTTCATCTCACCCCAGACAAGCTCAATAATGTTCATGTTTGGTGGCTGGGCTGGCTAATCCTGGAGCACCTTGACCCTCTTTGCTTTCAGGAACTTTAATATGGAGGCTGATGTATGAGAATGAGCACTATCCTGCTGAAGAGTTTGCCCTCTCCTGTGGTTTGTAATGTAAAGGGCAGCACAAATGTCTTGATACCTCAGGCTGTTGATGTTGCCATCCACTCTGCAGATCTCCATACTGAATGTAACCCCAAACCATGATTTTTCCTTCACCAAACTTGACTGATTTCTGTAAGAATCTTGGGTCTATGTTGATTCCAGTAGGTCTTCTGCAGTATTTATGAAGATTGTAATGAAGTTCAACAGAAAATTCATCAAAAAAATCCACCTTCTGCCACTTTTCCAAATGATCATCTCGAAGTCAAGTTATTATTTGTTGCTCCTACAACTGTTGTTTCTCTTCCATACATACATAATACTTTTAAATAATTGCTATGCGATTACTATGTTGACCAAAATAGTCATTTGATTTTTTTTCTGTAATCGAGCAGCACTAATTTAAATGTTTTAGTCTTATTGTTATTAGACTCTAATAGTTTTTTTTACACAACCTCGTTCTGTTGTCCAGCTATGGATTCTGATTCTTGGTGCTGCATTTGGATTTTCCTCATACGGACCGATCGCCTTGTTCGGAGTGATTGCGAGTGAAAGCGCCCCATCCAACTTCTGCGGGACGTCCCACGCCATTGTAGCTCTGATGGCAAATGGTAAATCAATGCATTCTGTCATTAAATAGTCCATACAGAAGATTGAATGTTTCTTAAAACCATTTATTACCACCATCCTTTGAGGACTTTGAGGACAACACATTCACTTAATACAGTTCATTGAACATCTACACATTGACATCACCTATATACTATATAACTGCAGGTTAACTATGCTTATATATAATAACTTTACTGTTAAAAGTTATTAGTTTCTAGTTAACTACTTTAAGTTATTAGTAATTAATAGTGTTATGGTAAATTATGTTGATTGTAATGCAATAATGTGCTCCTTTTTTAAAACTATTATTCTGAAATGTGCTATACAAATAAGCTTGAAATGATTTTAATAATGTTTTCTTTCAGTTGGTGCATTCATTGCCGGCCTGCCATTCAGTACCATTGCCAAACGCTACAGCTGGGACACAGCATTCTGGGTAGCAGAGGTCTCCTGCGCCATAACCACAGTTTGTTTCTTCTTCGTCCGTAACATGCGCACAAAAATGGGCCATGTGCCTAAAAAGATGGACTAATCCTCTTATTAAATCCAATCAGAGAGCCCTGCCAATGTGAGAGCACTCGGACAGGACATTTACATGCCAGTGATGCATTAATGTATATTTTTATCACGCATCTCAATTCGTTTGATTATGATATTAATATTTGTTTCTCAAGCTTATTCGGCAGCAATATCAGACATTATTTTAGAGATAAACCTTTTGTTACTGTAAAAACAGAAATGTTTACACACTTTTTGAGCACGGAGAGCTGTTTACTTTCTTAGTATTTATTAACATGAATAATTTCACATGAATGTTGTTTGATTCGCGTACGATTTGTGTACGATTGTCCAGTGTTTAAGTTACATTTCAAGAGCTTTGGTGCTGAAATGAGCTTAAATGTACTGTATTGTTGTTTTGCACTTGAAACATCTGTCATTTTGTCACCGGATTTCTGCTATACCATTCCTAAGCTATGTGTAAGATTTTTTATTTGCATTTTTCTGGACAACAGTAAAAAAAATCAAATATCCAAAGATGCCGCTTAAATTATAAAGAAATCTGTGTTTTTGAAACAAATGAAGACAGCAGAAGTCGATGATTCATTTGAGTTATATAGTTCAATGTGTTTACTGCTCCAAAATATCATACATATTTTAAAAAATAGAACATATTGTTTTCAAAGGAGAAAAAGTTTTTGTTTTTTACCCAGACATTTTAAAAGAATATATTTTAGAGCAGTAATCACTATACTGTAAAACTGTGATATTTTTATCCAAGGTTATCATACTGTCAGAATCTCATACCCGCCCATGCCTACTGGCTTCCATATAAGATCCAAACATGAACCATATCTGGGCCTAGTCTCAGTCAAGTTAATAACTTATAACTCGGCCTAAACTGAACTGCAAAGAAATTCATAAACCCATGAAGCATCGCGCTTTAGGTGCATCAATAATGGTAATAGTTAGTAATGCTTAATTAATAATAATATGAATTGTTAAATAATAATTTGGTAAATAAAATCTATGTAATGTAGGTTTAATTCTGTTATTTTGCAACATACATAGAATAATAAATATTGATTGTTTTGAATAAAAAATCAAGGCATTAGAAGATGCAAACTGGAAGTTACTTTGTGGATTAAAATATTTATTTACTCAAAATAATAAAACAATTTAAATGTATTATAAATGTGGGTCAAAGGCCAAACTTACGTGGCCCACATATCAGTGTTTAACCTCTGGCCCATATCTTGCATGCCGCCCTAAAGACAGTGCCTCCTCTGCCTGGGACATGTTTTGCCCACATGCTGTATGTCAGTGCCTGATGTGCCAGCTTCATGACAAATCTGGGCCAGAATTCTTTGCTACCTGGGTAGCTGTTCATAATAACTGCTTAGAGATTTCTAAAACACATATGTGGACATTTAATTTTGGACCAAAATATCTTTAAAAAAATATATTTCAAATGTTTATTCAACTAGCATGTATTTTGACCATGTAGAAATAAAGGATCTTGGTTTTTTTTTTTGTTTTTTGTTTTTTATAAAAATAAGTTAGAATTATAATTTCTTAGTGTATCAAGACAAGAGTATCACATATGCATTTTTTTGGCATTTTCTGAAGCAACTGTCGAATGCAAAACCATTAGCTACTCGTGATATCTCTCTAAGAATAAGATGTCATAACGTTCAATGTGGTCACATCAGGCTGTTGTTTCATCTGCTGCCACATGGTGGAGTCTTGTCTAAATCAAGAAAACCGTCTGTGGAAAAAAATAATATACATTCTCGATCCTAATAAACACATTAAAATGCCTGAAAAACAACCAAAGCTAGACATAAAAGATAGAAGATTGATATGTGTCTTGAAGCATCCAAGGACCACAGGAGAGAGAGACAAACAAACTCTTTCTGCAGTTTCTTTTCTATGGCCCACCCCACTCCCCCATTTTGGCATCTAGGCTGAGAGTAAAACAAGAGTGCACACAATATGCGGCACTGCTTTGTTCGTTGTTTTGTTCTCTTTTTTCATTTCCAGCAACTGTAAGAAAAATTATCTACTGAAAGACTCTATTAATTTGGAAAACACTGCCAAAACCTCCAGTCCACATGAAATTCTTTACTATCCACAAGAAATGCCGCTGCTTTGGACTTCCAAATGACAGTTAAACCCATGGAAATACACCGTCCCACACTAGGCCTCATCCGAAGATCCCAAAAAGGTTTGAATCGTCCCGTAATTAATAATCCTTGAGAAAGAACCCATGAGGAACCAATTATTCAATAAGACTCCCCAACCCCCATTGTTTAATGTGACATACAGGACGGTTGACGCGTTCAGACGGTGGATGGTCCAGCGTCGCCGCCATTGGTTAGTTCTCGATCCTCGACTGCTTGCAAGACGATAATTGAGATCATATGTGGGCTCGACCTGAGCTCAGGATAACCTGGAAGCATTTATTTTATGGAAAAGATGTTTAGTTAAGTGCAGCGCTGTGGTCTAATGAGGCTGGACTGGGTTCTGTGATGAATATGATTGGTGAAAGCTCTGAAGGCTGGTTCCTGAGTCCTTCCTTCCTTGCGCATCAGGTTACAGATTAGTAGACTTCCTGTCCACTCCATGCATGCACCTTAGAAAAGACAATTCTTTTTGATGAAGCTTATGTATTAGACTCAGATGCATTAATCCTTTTCTTTGTGACTTAGGGGTTGATAAGAATGGTTCTGGAAAGCTTCAGGAGTTGCCCTCTGGCGACACTGGGAGACAGGTAAAATTCATTAGCATTTATTTGTCAGGATTATTAATTAATATTAAAGAAGTTCATAGACATAAATAGGCCTATCTGAATAATGTGATGATATTTGGGGGGTGAGAGTCATAAAGCCATGGATGATGCAATTTGCAACATGTCACTTTGAATAGTAATTTTCATTCATTTTGTTGACTTTTTTCTTGAAAAATAGTGCATTTTCATACCAGTTAGCTTGTACAAATTTATACCAATTAGCCACTAATTAACCAAATTTTAAAACAGTTATGTTTCCGTCAAAATGTTGGACACAAATTGGCAGTGGCACCCCCAGAAAATTTTCTTAGGGGTGGTCAAGTAAGGCCAAACCAAATCTTGAGGTGGCACAAAAAAAAATAAATAATAATAAATACATAAATAAATTGTGTATATTTTGTGAATAATGAGTAATGTTACATTATTGTTTCTGGCCAATTAAAACAATGAAGCTTTTATTAATTCCATTAATTGCTCTTGAAATATTACAATTTATTTCTTGAAATAATACAGCAAGTATGTGCAAACCAAATAAAAATCTATATTTAGTTTAAAAACAACTTTGAGGTAAGTTATTTTTCACATACTTTTATTGTATAACATACAGTATATGCCATGTCTAAAATTAATGGAGATTAATGAATGAATTAATAAAACAAACAAATGAATAAACTGAGCAAAAGACAATACTACAAACACACACACTTACTATACAGACCCTAATGCTATCATTTAGCCATGTTCCTTTTTGATCCACAATATATTAATACATATTGTTCTATTTATATACCTATTAGCAAAATACACCCACAAAATTATTTTGAATTTGGCCCTTTTAAGTCAACCAGCAAAGTAATAGAGTTACTAAATAAACTACATTCTGAAAAGCTGATTTCAAAATGCATCTATTTTTGGGAGGGATTTGTGCTTTTCAGTCAGATAAAACACAACTGTTTCATTTAAAAATTAATAATTTCTTAACAAAATGTGTGCAATCTAAGTGGATCAGCTACGTCGGTGGCGCTGATCAATCCACAATAATTTAGTGGCAGGAATTTATTTATTGAAATAATGTGAATTTACGTAAGTACATTTAAATTAATAATATCAACAACTAAATCATATTGGGGTGGCCCTTGGGGGTGCCCCTGCAAATTGGGTTAGATTGCACCACAATCTCACAGCAATTCATAAAATGTTTTGTAAAAATAGTGGCTAATTTGTATAACTAAAGGGAAGTGAACTCAGAAGTCATCAAACTGATGTTATCAGAGCAAAACTGCTGTTCCTGAGCAGAAACAAATGGTCAGATTTTATTAAAGATTACCGAAGCAAACAGTTTTTGTAGATTAGTTGTTTAACTAAAGACAAAAAAATGGCAAAATTTTATGCAGACTTTAGGAGTCTGTATTAAACACAACCTACTTTAATGTTTTGCTCTACAAAATAAATTAGTCACACTGTTTTTGAAAATGTGAATGTATGCATCTATAATATAAAGCATACAGTGCATACGGAAAGTTTTCATAGCGCTTTACTTTTTCCACATTTTTTGATGTTGCAGATTTATTCCAAAATGGATAAAATCTTTTATTTCCTCACAATTCTACACACAATACCCTATAATGACAATGTGAAAAAAGATTTTTTTGAAATTGTTGCAAATTTATAAAAAAAAAAAATTTGAAAAATCACATGTTTGCTCAATACTTTGGGTCATTGTTCTGCTGGAAGATGTGGAAAAAATGAAGTGTTATGAATACCTTCCGGATGCACTGTATGTTCCTAATAAGTATGTGTGAGTGTATGCTGTTTTAATTATAGAACAAATTGTTGACTTATTGTCCAATTGCTTACAATAGACCTTAACTGTATGTTAAATATACACTGGAAAATCTTGAAGAATCTCACTTTGAATTAGTCTCACCCATTTTGACATCATTCCCGCACCACATATTTAATTTAAAATATCATATGTAATTTGTACTATTTATGTAGTCTGCCAATAGCATAAAAGGCAGGCATTCATGCTTGTTTATTCCTCTGTTAAATTTTAGGTCCCACTTTATATTAAGTGTCCTTAACTACTATGTACTTCCTTTAAAAAATAAATACAATGTACTTACTGTGTTTATGATGTATTTGAGAACACTTGTGGTGCTTTTGAGTTGGGATAGAGGTTGGGTTATGAAAAGGTTTTGTGGTATGGGTAGGTTTAAGGGTGGGTTAAGGTGTAAGGGGTGGTCAACATTGTAATTACAAATGTAGTTACAAAAGTAAATAAAGATGTAATTACATACTGGTATTTAATCAAGCATAAGTACACCGTAAATACATGTATTTACACAATAAGTACATTGTAACAAACTATTAGTTCCTGTGTAAGTACTTATTAGTTAAGGCCACTTAATATAAAGTGGGACCAAATTTTACACTTTCATATAAATGACTTCATATTAAGTTCATACCAATTTGCCACTAAATCATCAAAATGTAAAACCATTGTATTGAAAAGAGGGGAAAAAATAATAATAAAAAAAAAGAAATTATTAAAGTATTAAAATGTCATGCGGTCTTAAATCCGGTTAAAGTTAGATTTGTGTTCAAGGTCAGTTGAGTTTTACTGTTTTAGAAGTAAAAATTCCCTATCACGTTAATTAT